TTCAAAACTTATTGTTCATTATAATATTCTAAAGTTTAGAAATTTCATAGATTACTTTATTATTTTATTGGTAGTAAATTGTTATCAATATTTGCAACCATTAATCATGTTACAAATGATTATCAGTTATATGAAGGAAATATTGACAACCTAACCTTTACTGTTACTTGCAATGAACACATTTTCTCTTTCCTTCAACGTATATATGTACATAAACCATCAATATCATAACTGTAATAATTAAAATTTAGTAAATAATATCTTTTCTCCTGATTAATTCATATACATTTAAACAATCGCTTTCAGAAGCACCATGTGAAAAGTTAGGTTAGAATTATAATTGGATTAGTATTAGAATTGGAATTGAAACATTACTTTCAATCACTTTGTTTAATTACAAAATATATCTATTCTTTTATGACACGAAAAATCAGTATCTTGAGATTTACAAACTTTAAATCCAGTAACATGTAATGACATCCATGAAATAAAAATATTCTAAATGCGCCTTTACATTGCATAAATAGGTTATCTTCCAATCTTCACGTAACTTAACCTAATTCCAAACTAACAGTATTGAAACTGAACTATGAATTTTCCTTATGAACTATGATTTTACTAATCTCTTTCCAAAGATCTGACTACTTAATTAACAAAATTAACCAAAATGGCGATGCTACATGTGACATAACCAAACACTTATATGAACCGTTCACTGCACAAATTGATTAACTCCATAAAACATAAAGTGGAGAAATGCAATGAAATAATCTATACTGTTTTTCAAAATTCCCTTTATAATTTAAATCGAAATAAATATCGCAGAATGCATAAATACAAATGTAACTTTCATCTAACGGTATATAAAATTTATAAGAAAAAATAGCCAAAAGGTAATCGTTGGTAATGTTACCATTTTTATGTTACTGGAAGAGTTAATCGATTTGGCGAGTGAAAAAAGTAATAAATTTAAATTTTACTAAATTTTACTTAAATTCTGATAAGACGGCACTAAAAAATTCACCGTTATCATTCATGGCTTGCTAGTGCATTCGAGTTGCATTATTGCAACGATTTACATTAGAGTACGGAGTTAATCAAAGTGACCTCTGAAATAAATTATTTATTATTCAGTGGCCAAAAAATTGTTGTCGTTTAACGGTGTTAATCTTAATTATCAGGGAAAGTTATTATAAATATAAAAAGTTACGACTATACCAAGTGCTTTGACACTTAAATTTAAGATTTTTCAAAAAGTTGAGTTAATCGATTTGTGCAATGAACGGCTCATATGCAGTATCGAATATTACATTAAACGAGTTTAATTCTATACTAACCCCCGTAAAGCTAAATTACACTTGCATTAAACGAAAATGATAAAAAATCCTAAAAATTTGTATAATTTACTGCGAATAAAATACATATATAGTGATTAATTAAAACTGAATAATTTCACAATGCTCAGCTTGTCGTAATTGGATCACAGCGCAAGGGGTCAAATTTCACATAATTTATGGAAATCTTTCGAAATCTCTTGAAATCTTTTACATGAACTCGTTTCGTGAAACATCCTGTATGTAAACGGTTGACTCTCTGATAGTTACACTAGTTGAAACATTATCTCCGGCGGCAATCCAGTAGATTAGTCCCTAATGCAGCGCCCTCACGACGACGTACGGCCGCGCAATTAAACAAGTCTCAGATGAAAATTACCGGCGTGACCGCCACTCGATAGAGATCTTATTACGTACACTTGCACGTATACTGTCGTCTAGCACGAAGGCTCTCCACGATGATTGCTTCGTGAGAACTAGCGCGGGCCTGGTTTTGCATTAATCGAACCCGTAATCCGAAATCGTCAATCTCTTCGTATCGTAATAATCGAATAGCATCCGTAGATGTAGCGTGTACGAGGTGATTCGAAAATTAAATGGGATGAAAATTCGTCTCCACTTTGATATTAGAATCCATACTTTAATGGCTCGATCCTTTTTTCTTAATTAGAAATTAGAAATTAGAATTGGAAATTTGTCTTTTTCGTGAAACGAGCGAAGATAGACGAGTATGGCAACGAGGGTGATAGGTGTTTTACGTTTAAGGTGTTTTTAAAGTTTAATGAACGAAAGTATTAAGTAGGAAATTATATATCTTAAATTGAAAGAAATTTTTAGTGCAGTGTGACAAAGAGATGAGATAAAAATTAGATTTTGGATTAGGGGACAGAATAAAACTAATTATTAAATAATTATTAGGGTGATAGAAACTTATGTTGTGTATAAAAATGAAAATGATATTTAAACTATATCTACAGATATTGTAGATAATATCTATTAATACTATCAGGTATTATCTACAGATAATATAGATAATATCTAAAGTATACATTTCTTTATTTATTTTTTTTATATTATTTGATTTTATTATTCTATAATTTCGTATTATATTCATAATATTTACTACATTTATTTATCTATCTTATCTATTTTTTAATTATATTTAGTCATTTTATTTGTATTATATTTTTCGTAACTATGTTGTTTGGCATTATATAATTAGCTGCATTCTTTTATTTATATAATTATATTTGCATATTTCTTTTGCACATTATTTATACATATTTATCAATTTTGTTTAGAAATTTTATTGTTTTTCAATTTTTATTTTTTAATTTCTTATACTGTAGGAGTTCGGAAAATTCTAACAGAAGAAGAAATTTCAAATAACCACCGCAGAAGAAGATTATGGGAAACCTTACAAGGAATTTCTTTTGAAACCTGAAGAAGTTTCAACAGCTAGAATAGCACAAAAGTGGAACAGAGCACTTGAGAATATCCAATGCAAGATAAAAAGCTGTCATAATCTAAATATAATTCAAGCAGCCAAAATAAAGCAATCCAAATTTTACCTACAGTGCCATTAACACAAAATCCATAAATACATATTTCTTCCTCTTAAATCTGCTTTTCATTATATCTCAAAAATCCATTAAATGTATTAAATGCTATCAATATTGGAATATTTAAATTATTAAAAAAATTGTTAAATTATTAAATTATTTAAATATTATAATCTATAATTAAATCCAAAAAGTTGAGAAAAATTATACGAGATTTTATGGGTTATTAAGATTTGTAGGATTAATATCGATAAAATAAAATTTCGTTTATCACGAATCAATGTTGCAAATATTTTTGCACGTTCGATTATTTATTTTCAAGCTCACACTCGAGTAAAGACTTTAATAATTCAGACGCGAAAGTGTGAAGTCAAAAACAGAATGTGTTGAACAACAGAACGAATATTCGGTAATTGAAAACACGGTATTAGGCTGTCACAGAATCCTTAGTAAACTGTCATTCACGTGTCACCGATGTAAAGGAAGAGGAGGAACGAGTGCCTCTGTTCTTGCACCCTCCGTTTGCGTAACTGTGCGTAACAACGAGCACAATGGGGCTTACAAGTCATTGATCATCCAAAAACTGATGCGTACTCGAGTTTGCAAAGCTCTTAAAGCATATAAAAAGGCGTGCAATTTCTAAAATGCACTTGTATGTAGATGTTTCTTATCAAAGCTGATTTGAAATTTCTACGAATTTAATATTATTTAATAATATTAGTTTAATATCATTTCGAATTATTTTCGAGTCAATAATATTGTCAATAATATTTTATTTATTTTTTAGTTTATATTTATTATTATTTTATTTTATTGTCAACAATATACTCGATAGTCGTTTTAAAAATAATTAATAAGACAAGTAATAATATAATAATAAATGATTAATTACTTGATAATAATTTGTTTTAAAACGTATATCTATATTATTCTAAAAATTAACATTATTCACTATTTAATACTTGTTATTAATTACTTGGATTCTTAAAAGAAATATTTTTACACATGTAATTAATGTAGTATACTATTTCGCATGCGTATAAATGGTAATATTTGAAAATTTTGCTTATCTATAATTAATAAATGAAAAATTCTGTTTTAGAAAGTAATATTATAATTTATTAATTTTATATATTTTTTTTTTATTTTAAATAATATGTTACAAAATGGTAGATATTAGGTATTTATTGGTAATTTGGTAATCATTGAGTATTCAATGGGTAAAGCATTGCTAGCCGCCATTCCTGGTGAAAACTGAATATAATGAAAATTCTTTTTGATAAATAAACTAGAATTTATTATCGAAATATAAATAAACGTAACCATGCCAAGAGTTTACAAATATTAAATTTCTTTTAAATATTAACAAAATGCCTTAATACCACATTCCAGGAACTTCAGGAAAATAAAAGAAAAGAGAAATTAATTTTTTAAGATGGTATACTGTCTTGACAATATTGTACAAAATATTGTCTGCCATCTTGTACCAACAAACACATATTCCTTTCTTCAAAAATTTATCGTAGTATCTATTTTTCCGTTTTTGACAATTATAAAATTGTCAAAAATTTTTTACCATAATTATATATATAATTACTACGATTATTAGTAATTTTATTATAGTTGTAATAACACCCTTTATTCCTCCAATTATCTTATACACGTGTAACATGGTAGATCTCATTCGCATATCTAATATAATGCAAAAATGCTCTAATGCGATGTGTAAAAAAAATTCTAAATTTAAACAATTAAAAAATTGTGAAATAAACTCGCTTATCTCACACCAAAGAAATATTCATCGTTAAACTAAATTATATAATAAAACGCATTCCGAATAATAACAGAAAACATGAAAATTTCAATAAAAACGAGAAAGATAATTTCAAGCAGTGTAATGTAAAGTTTGAAAAGCGCGCCATCAGTAAAAAGCGCCAAACCTATAACGAAGTATATACGCAGCGTTGCGTCTCGAAGAAGCGAGCTAGACTCGTGAAAAACATTCTTGTAAACACCGGTTCGCACTAGTATAGGGCAGACACGTAGCGCGGACACCGTCCTATATACCACGGATTTTAATCTATAATCTGGCCAACGGGTAGCGCTGTGCAACACGAGACACGCTCGCGTCCGTGGCGTAAATGTTACATCGTGTCGCGGGTAAATGATTGCCAGAAAATTGCAGTTTCCGATAGGGCCGTTGCTCGGATCGTTACGGATCATTTTCCCTCTTCTTATCGTCGCTCGGCCTTTAGAAGCTCGCCTTTTCTTTCCTCGTGTGAGATCGATACGTACTTCGAAAGTTTCTACGTAGTGATTACGCGGCCGTTGCTCGTCACGCCACTCCGTTGGACCAGTCTCCGTCGATATAAAAATATACAAACTTCTCGCAATCGTTCGTCTTCCGAGAAATTCGCTCGTGTTATTTTCCGTTGAATTTCGTCGATTCGTACCGTGGGTCCAGTGTCCAGTAATTTCTCAGTGACGTGTACAAGTGCCTTTCGATGGAGAATAAAAAAGTGATTGTAGTGCAGATTCGTTTAAAGTTCCGTTAATCGCGTTCGACGATCTTCTTGTAAAAATTTTACTCGAACCATGTGGAAGTTTATAGGCGGTTTTATGCCTTCGTTGATTGCATGCTCGACTAACCCGACAGCGACAGTTTTACGGTACTTTATACTTGGCGTGAAGTTATCGTTAATTGCTTATAATAATGCAACGCTTGCTCGAGTTTTATGGATGAAATTCATATAAATGCGTCACGAGATTTTTAGCTTCATTTTGCTTCTACAGGGCTCGTGGATGGACCGTACAGATTACTACTACTCGCGAAAATGAAATTAATCTTCGCCATGTTTAGTCCTGGGAATGCTGCTTGACGTTTTAATCTAGTAAGGATTTTACGTGAGTACTTTTTTCAGTTTTATATTTTTGTATTGATATTGGGCAGATCAATTTTTAACATCTGTATAAAGGATACGTTTTACGGTTAATATGACTGAGAAAATTCCCACAGAATAAATGTACGTTATTGACAAGCGTTTAATTGGTCCCACAGAAAATTATAGACTGTATAGCATACTTTTCCTGTGTTTATGCTACGCGACTGGACGTCATATGGTCTGCTCGACCGAGGGTTACAGGTATTCTCATTCCTGTGCAAATAAAGTAACGTGCGAACTATAATATCAATTTAAAATCATTATATTTTATTTTATAATTTTTTTGAAAAATTATATTGCATTATTTTTATAATATGTACATATAATTATGAAAATCATACTGTTATGAAATTATGGACATACATTTATCAAATTAAAGATTTGTTAATTTTGCATATTCAAATTATATAATATCGCTATTTATATTTGATTTTTAAAGGAAAATTAGTTTCTTTAAGGAGTGAAAAATATTATTGTATAAAATTATACTAATATACTGTAATAAATTGATTAAATTAATTGTTAAATAGGCAGATTTAAATTAATTCATTTAAATTGTCCAAATTATTGGATACAATTTGACGATTGTAAAAATAAATTCTGTGGAATTAAGTGAAAACGTATAAATTTTTAACAGATATAAAAAGTAATTGAAACTTTAATGATAAATTTTTTCCAATATTTTCTATGAATAATGAAGATTAAAAAGAGGAAAAAAAAAATTTATATAAACATTAATTTAACTATATCCATTTTAGATTCATAACAGAATATAAGGTAACCAAATAATTAATGTTATTTTTACGTGTTTCACAATTCAGTGTGTAATGTATTTATTCTAACTATACTTTATTTACTCGAATAATTTTATTTATTTACTTATTGTGACTTCATGTTAACTATAAATTCACTTATAATCAATTTACATTAAATTTATTCAAAGTTCTCAATAAATATCACACAAAAGTCCCATAATTAGAGATATTACACTTACATCTTATGTACCACTTGTATATACCCCAGTGTTTAAATAAGTACACAATTACTCGCATGCAGATTAATGTGGAACAAAATAAATAAAAAACACAAACATCAAATTATGTAATAAATTAATAAACATCGAGCAATAAACAAAAAAATGCAAAATTCTATTCACCATATAATTTTACAATTATAATTACCAAATCTCGATATTTCCAAACTACGTGTATAAAACTATTTCAAAATGAATTATTACAATAAGCCAAAGGAGAGAAAGGAAACTGTAAGCGATATTTGCAATAGGAAACACGACGACGGAAAGGGTCGTTCCTTTCACCGATACGAGTACTCTTGTGTGCAGCTTACTAAGAATCGTATCACGTTTTCTGCTTTATTATATCGCGCGGCATTCATCGAATTGAATAACGCTTTTCACACGAGACAGGACAGGACGCACCGCGCGTCATTATACAAGCGGAGATGCGAAAGGGATTGGCGAGCGTTCGAAAGGGCCCACCTGTTGCAACCGCCACCACTGCGCTCTCCACCAGCTTAACACGCTGATCAACGCGCGACCCTGCTCGAGTTCTGTGAATCTCCACCAGAGGGAGCGCTCTGCATCGTCACTGTTAACCTTAAATGGGTGACGTCTGTGCTTCTCTGCTATCGTAATGCAGGGATACCGTTTGCTTGGCAAGTATATGGAATAAGAGATGTTATTTTATTCTAAAATATATATTTATTACGAGCTAAATTAGACTAGCAGTAAAGTATGTTGTAAATTCTCAAATGAAATTGCAGCGTTTGTTAAAATGCGTAGGAAACTATACGTATACAGTTTTATAGCAACGAAATATACACAGAGTGCCAAAAACGTTTTATTTTGTCTTCAGCTTACAGAAATATTGCGTATGTGTTCCTTCTTTTATCGAAGGAATATCGGGCCTACGCGAACGACTTGAGACACCGGAATAGAATGAAACGAACACCAAACTCGGAAACTAATTAAACACAAGAAAGTAATACTAAAATAACGTGACTATAACACACGGAAAACACGCTTTTATTCGTTCGTGCCGGTCACAAACTATATTCACGAGGATTCTTCAAGGCTTCTCTACTCAGGACTCTCTCTGTGTCGTCGAGTGTCCTGCTTTTATGACTTCTGCACAGCTCGATGGCGTGCTTTTATCAATCGCTAATTGGCTGATATGATTAATAACTTCATTGGACTATTAAAAACTTGCGTTGTTAAAACAATGAAACTACCGATATTCGAAAAATCGATGTAACCAAAAATTTGAACACCTACAACCTCACCTACATTCATTCCGCATTTGTTATTTACTGCATACGTGATTTTATTTTGTCGTGATAATTTGCAAGCAGGAAATGTATTTTTTATTATTATGGTAGTGAAATGAGTTTTTTTTTAATTTTAGGATAAATTTAAGGATTCGACGAGCGTCGCCAATAATTACACGGAGTCAATTTAACTGCGCGTCACCGATTGGAAGGTTAAGTTGTGTCTACGTAGCAGAAATGAACGCAGACGAGTATGGACGAATGCGAGTGAGTTTAAACTAGTGGCGTATTTATATTTGGTAGAAGGGTAAGCATAATTGTGTAGTAATTAGTAATTAATTGGAGTATTTATGTTATATTTTAGTTATATTTTAATATTATGTTATAATATGTTAGATATAAGTTTAAAATTTTAGTATAATAAATTAGTTATTGTTAAGTTGGTTGTATTAGTTATTAGTAGTATAATAAATTAATTATTATTAGTAATTATTACATTATAAGTAAGTATTATTATAATAAATTAATTATATTAGTAATTATTATTAGTATAATATTAGGTATATTAGTTATATTATTAGTATAATATTAGGTTATATTAGGTATTGGTAATATAGTAAATTTTACTCTTATTTTATAGAGGTTTCTCAATATCCTAATTGTGGAAATCAGAGTCATTCGGGTTCTGCATATTTTCCAGTAAATAATAGTTTAAAAAAAGATCTGAAAAAATTCTTATGGCATCTTTGAACATTCAAAATTAAGAAATTTTTACAAATATTTTGTTTAAATATATTTAAAGCTATACTATACACTTGGCTTACGAGAAAAATAAATGTTTAGGATTGACAATAAATTTATCACTACTAAAAGGAATCTGTTTATCCGTTTTTCAAGGAACTTGTAGCATTCATTTCCGTTATAGACAAGTTAAAACAAAATATATACCCGATGAACTATTAGGAATAAACATATGTACAAGAATTTTTAGGTTATGTTCTATTACTGGAATTACTAACCTCTAATATAGTATCTAAATATAGTACACATAGATAACGTTGATTGAAGTTGTGTGAAGATAATAAATAGATATATGCAATTACATTTTTATCTTAATAAATATCATCATTAATTTGTTCAAGAATGGCTGTGTGTTTATAATAATTACAAAGGAACAAAAAACGAAGAAAACTAGTTATTTCGATTAGTTTAATAATTCTAAAGCTAAAAAGCAGTACCTACCTTATCTAAGTATTGTAGATAATAGATAATTCGCTATGCAAAAGTAAATTAAAAGTGTAAAATAAAATGTATTCATTCAAAACTTTATTTTTAATACGAAAGAGCCAAGAATTTTAGAAGTGTTATAGAAAAAAATAGTAACAAGTTATGCTAGAGATTTGATACAAGTATGAATCATGTAGCAGACTAAAAGAGGCTACCAGTAAAAATTCTGATCAATAAAGATTCCAAATATAATAACAAGAATCTTCTTCTATTTTTATTCTAATTTTGTTTTCATTTTGATTTGATTTAATCCATATTTAATATTTCATTTTTTATATAATAAGGTATAAATAATATAATAATAAGGTTTAATATAACAAGGTATACTATAGACTTTAATAAATACAAATTTCAGCACAACTCGAATTCATTTAATTCAAGATTTTATCTGTAATAACTTAATAAAATGATAAGCATTCGATTACTTATTTCACGCCTCTCTTCAAGACTTAACCTACCACGACCAAATGACCGATGAATTAATAAGTAAGTAGTAGAATCCTTATAAAATGAAGCAACGAGAATCATTGCAAGATTGATTACACGTACATTGAAATGAAAATCGCGAAGATCACTAAGGCGATAACATCGAACGCGAAATGAGTGAATGAATTGACTAAGTTTTAAAAATGATCATTTAAAGGGACTGACCAATATGTAACCTTCGATAAATTGATTCTTTTTCTTGTTTTAAAAAATTCTTCGTCCTTTGCTACTGTTACGGCCCCAGGACTGAAAGTCCCAAGTTAAATGGAGGACTGTTTATGTCCTTATTGTCAGCATCCCTTGATTCGTATACACTCGTCATCACCTAGTCATCACTTGGGTGAACCTTAGCAAGGATCAATAAATCACCCATAAGACGATAGGCATAAGGACCCAAATTGTTTAAACATCCACCACCACAGAAAGGCGTCGAAGCTATCACACACCCCCAATATTATTCACAACCAATAGGAAGACACACACACACCACTTACATTTCACACTAACCAATTAGTAGACATACAAAACTTATAGAACCACCGAGACAGCAGTCACGGGGAGTTCTCCTAAAAATCCCAAGAAGACAAGACAAGCATCACGACCAGATCATCAGCTAAGACCCACGATGATCAACTCAGCGCGAGAGACAGTTACGCGTCAGAACTCTTTAGTTCACCCCTAACCAGGTCTAGCTCTATTAATTTAGAGTAGGCCGCATCCCAGCAACATTGTCGCATCCGCGTAAACGGGTCTTACAACCCCGCGAAACTCCCACCGTGCGAGTTGCAGGGTTCGGGACGCAACGCGCATCGTGTAAGGAGAAAGCGAATAGGACGTCGAGAT